CTCAAACTAAATCTTACAAATAAATAGATATGCTTACATTGTTTTTTCAGGTTTTGCTTTTCTTAACCATTCAAGATCATCAAGAAGGCCAGACTTGTGATTGTATATGCTATCAAGGAATGTCTTCACAAGTTAAAATGAAATCTTAGTTACCCATTTGAAGATTTTAGAAACTTATAATTAAATAGTATTGTTAACTAATTACTACTTGGATGCGTGCAGCGATTCTGTTGTTCATGCCTCTTTCTTGAATGACATGAGAGATCTCATAAGGTTGCGCACAACGAACAGCATTCCAGTCCAGAGCATGTTTACTAATGCCTTCTTTGGGATCTTCAATCAGGTATTTGGCAGCCAGACACATGAAGGCAGAACTAATAGAGCAAGATCAGTTATTGTGTAATATAAGTAGTAGTGTACCGGAATATTAATCAAGAAGAAGGATCAAGGCTAGGATACAGTTAATTACCTTGACAAATTGTCTGGTGCATTTTGTGTTAAAAAAACACCAACAACAGAGTCCACCACAGAACCTTTCCAACCCATGAAACCCCTATTTCCTGTTAGGTTTTGTATATATCCAAATTAAAATCTGACAGGTAGATAGATAGAAGCTCTAATCTATATACAAAAGCTTCATATACCTTGAACATGGCGCATGGAGGTGATGAAAGACAATGCCCTTTGTCGGAATAACTCCTCCTCCTGCTCATTCATGTCTTCCTCTTTGTCATTGCATTCCAAACCTAGCTTTTATACATAACAATGAATAAATGCAACATACTTACATACATATATATATATATATATACATATATATATATATATATATCCTCTATATATAAAGAGAAGTTAGTACGACCTTCCATGTACTTGTTGACACTCCGAGTAAAGCAATGGCCTCCCTTTGTGTAAATGAGCATCGTTTTTGTTTGAGCATCAAAATCTAAAGCTCTTCTGCAAGATGACTTCACACTTGTATGACCACGAGAAGAAGAAGAAGAAGGAGATGGAGTGATAGGCTTAGGAGTCATGACTTTTGGCCTAAACTTCTTCACCTGCTGCATTTTGGTCATCGCTTGCTTCTCCCCAACTAATTTATCCTCATCATCATTCGATAATTTCATTGGTGATACTTCTTCTCTAATTAGACCTAACAGATCAAGAAGAGAACGAGAGAAATCGATGATCATTCATAATCAATCTAAAAAGTAGGCAGTGAGTTGAGCTTACATACATTTCTTGGCAGATCTCATCTTAGACTTGGAGCGCAAGCAATGAGAGTTTCCTGCACATAAACCACCACTATTTCAATTCAAAAGCTTAAAACTAAGCACTAACAGAGAGAGAAAGGGATGAATCTTAAATGGCATGAACCATGATCGGTGGGTGTTGAAGGAGGAAAGATTGTGATATGAACAGAAATGGTAGCATCTGGTTGTTTTCGTTTGTTTTGCTCCATTATCGTTTTCTTCTTCTTCAATTCTTGATCAAACTCTCAAGGGGATTGCAAACTCTATACTCTCCAGCTTCTCATAATCATTGCCTACCTCGATATGTCATCTCATTTCATCAACATTTGCCGCTTTTTCTTATTCTTTTGATAAATCATGGGAGTAAATTACAGATTTAGTCCACGTAGTATGTGGATTTTTATAAAATTAGTCCTTAGACTTAATTTATTACATAGATTATTCCATAGTATTGTATTATGATTTTTTGAGTCCGTTAATTACGAAGACAAAATGGTCAATTTAACTATTTTCCCCTTAATAGTTGTTTGGTCCAAGGATTAAATTCGTGAAAAAAATTGTACATCAACAGATAATCAATGTAATAAGAAAAGTCCAAGGCTCAATGCATAAATATTCGTACAATAAAAGTACAAAATCCGTCATTTAATTTAAAATGATATTAACTATTTAATAGCATTCATTCCAAACCAATGACAAATAAACATATAAAGGCCTATACTCCGCAAAATAGCTGATAAACAAATCATGTTTGGCAAAACTAGTTAATAATAATATAATATAATTAAAAATGACATCTTCAAAAATTAATCAATTATAATATTTTAAAATATATTAATTAAAATTATTAGTAATTATACTTATTATTATCATGAAATTTTTTCATAAAGTTGTTTCATATGATACTTTTTTGATGAAGTTGTTTCATACATGGTTATGAAATTTTAATAAAATTGTTTCATGTATTTCTCTAAAATTAATATAATGAAGATAATAATATCCATGATAAACACCCTCCATAATAAAAATGATTAATCAACCTCTCATAATTCCAAAAAATTGAACAAAATAAAAAATTATGATTGATTGAATGAGGTTTGTACAAATAAAATGGTTTGCAAAGTAAACCTCATATATATATATATATATATATATATATACACTAGTTCTGTACCTGCTCCAATGCAACTAAATATAAAAGTTTATTGTAAATAAAAAATTATTTATTTATTTATTTATAAAATGTTCTACCTTTTAAATTATGATGTTGTTTACAAGATAATATTTTGATAACTAAATGAGAAATATTGAAGCCTATAAAAATCATCCATCAAATAGGGGTTTTTTTTTTAAAATAATTCATCTTTAAATCTCAAAAGAATTTGAGGACTTTGTTTTGACAATTTCAGTCTTCATCCCATACTTGAAAGATCAACGATATTTGTAAACATTAAAAATATCATAATGTTATATTTTTCAAACAAGAAAAACTATAAGGCGAACTTATCAAGAACTATGTAAAAAGACATGATGTATTGAATATTGAAATTCTCTATGAGTTTAAGCAATTTATTACATATACATAATGTTGGATTAGCCTCTTCAATAATCTTGAAAACATTAAATAGTTGATAAGTGAATATCGTAGATAGTGCGACTTTATAATGTCATAAATGAAGGAAAGGAAGGGGATGATCGGATGGGGGATTTAGAAACTTGTAAATAATACATAGATGACAGTTAAAATCCAACAACAATAATAAATAATATTATATATAGATAAATAAGGATGTAAAATAGAAAATAAAAAATTAAGATACTAAAAAACATCAGTACGTATTTATCATATTTATTAGTATTATT